ATTATTATGCTGCCTCCTCTCAGATATAATGGTGATAATATCTTTTCTCCTTAATTCCCGTATCTTCTCTGCAGTTCACTTTTCTACCGATCTACGGTTTTTGACTCCGATATAGCTGAATATAAAACAATAAACTAATAACAAAATATTGAAACCCCATATAGTTTGGCTCCTTTTCGAAATGACGGAATCATGTGCGGACGAAGAAGGCTTAATCCGCACCTTGCCCATGTGGAAAAAATTAGAATGAACTAGATAAATTAAACAAGTAACACCTTGCATGTTGCAAATAATGAACTAAAAAAAAAAGAAGTAAAAAATTAAATACAGAGAAAATTACGTTAAAAAAAACATGCAGACTTTACATACATATAAACAGAGGTTCGAAAAAAATAATGTTAAAGAAATGATACCGCAAAAGGTTAGCCGTGTACACTTTTAAAATAAATAAATAATAACAATAATAATGATTTTAAAAAATAAATAATATATAACATTTATATTTCGCATTTCCAAATAGGTAGCTTAATAACAATTGTAAACTATTTAATAATCGTAGTTATACTGACAGTGCCAGTCTTCCTTTTCAGGATTCCATGAAGCTGTTGGAGACCTCATTTCCTTGTCCGCGCAGACTCCGGAGCATTTGGTTAAAGTTGGACTTCTTGACCCAAATTACAAGGCAGACAATGGTCAGTAATCAGGGCGGTGTTATTTTGCTACGATTTGCTCCACCTTTTAGTTTAGTTTAGTTTAGTATAGAGTTTTACGGCGCTCGCAACTGCATAAGGTCATATGAGCGCGCAGCTTTTAGTTTGTTTAGTTTTTGTGAGTTTTGTTTCACATGCAACACAGGTGTGTCGTAGAAGAACAGAAGATGAAGACTGAGGGAATAATAATATAATAATGACGACAGATGTTTGATAGGAAAGAAGGAGAAAAATACACCAGAGGACAAGTCAGCTACTCACTACAATCAAAATTATGTCTGGTCTCTATAATTTCGTTCCAATCTTCCTTTGCATTTTATCTAGAATTTTTGATCCACCAGTTCCGTCTAGCCAGGGAAAGAGATAGGTAAAAGAGGGGGCAGGTAGGATCTATATAGTGGGCTGCCCCCAAAATTGCCGATTATTTTTGGGTTTAGTTGGGTATTATGGACGTTTGACTTAATGAGCAGCTACAATCCTTAGAAGATGTAGAGAAGAATGCAAGAGAGAGAGAGAGAGAGAGAGAGAGAGAGAGAGAGAGAGAT